TCCATCAACGGGATTTTCTCTAGATCCGGATATAAGTTCATTCATCAAAACTTCCTTGTCCAGATTAAGCCTATCACTAAAAAAAGGAATACCGCTTGATATTTCCCATAACAAAACCCCGAGACTATAAGAATCTGATGATTCATCTTTTCTACCATATGTTGAGAGGAGTAGGGGATCTATGTATACTATTGATTCTGAGTCCAAATATTCCAAATAATCGTGAGTTTCGAAATCCTCATTTGATCTATCAAGAGATATTGAAAATTCAAACCCGGTAATCACCAATCTGTCATTATAGACAAGAATGTTTTTTGGATTCTATTAAAATATTATGAATCATATATCAATAAAAATTAATTTTTAATCTCACGTAATGATCTAAAGTTTACCCAATACATACCAAATTACGATGAATTATATTTACACGGTGAATATAAAAAACACCATTGGTAATTTCTTTCGCCATGTTTGTTTTTTTCGGCCAATCCAATTCCATGAACTTTTTTTGCAAATAATTCTTGAGATCTTGACCGTACGTACATTGAAATACCATATAGTAAAATTTCAGGGATGGTTCTAAATAATAAATATTGGTCGCAGTTTTTTAAAACAAAACATGTGCGATTATTCTTATTGCTGTATAGTACCATACCTTTGCTGATTCCTAAAAACCTGACTATGTTTTTGTTATCAAATTCATTTAACCTTGTTAAATTCCGAATCTATTTATTAATAAGCATTAATCAGATTAATTCTCTACCGGTTTAAACTACCTATTAACAAGAAACCTACCTCTCTTGAAAAACTTTTATAATATTCAGTTTCAATTTTATACTGATCATCTCTCAAATATTTGAGAACAACGTTCCTATCAAATCCTATTTGATAAGCCTTTTTAACGTCTGCCATTGGTGTTGTTAAAATAATGCTAATTTCTCTAAACGAATTATAATCAAACTCTGTCATATGTTTACTACGAATGGCATCTTCAACCCATCTTTTATGAATATTGGGTGAGTCCATTTTTAACCAATTGTTTAAACTACGAACATCAATCGATAAAGACTGGTACGTATATGTTATGTTACTGAAAGCACTAGACAAAAAAATCGTACAAATTTATATAATGTAGTCATTATATATAGTATTGCTGTACAATGTCATGGTACAAGTCAACTCTCAAGTCACACCAAACTTTTATTTTAATTAAATAATAAATGTTATTGATAATCACATACTATATACTGTATAAACGATTATTTAGTGTATCGGAACAGTTTTATTTACCAAAATAAGTGCTTTCTCCGTACATAGTTGTACAGCATATGTCCAGCCGCATTTTGATACCTCTGTAAAATAAAGTGATATATTCGTGTACCTCCATCAGGTATCACGATAATGTAGCCATAGACATACACTCAATGGATGTAGAGATGCGATCCGTTCAAATCCATACTGTATTGTTTTGATTATCATTCGTAATCCGTATATGAATTCCTATTAAGGTCAACTCTCGATAAATGCAATGTATACAAAGTTTCTATAATTAGTTATATTTGTTGATCTTAATAAAGCAACTTTGACAAAAATGAAATTATCATATCAGTTAATATCGTCGATTTTTTCCAGTCACCGGGTCTTTTTTTTAAATGCAATGATATTGCACGGTAATTTTTTAAAATAAGCATTGAAAAATCTGAAAATTTTCGATCTTCACTAATAATATTTGATGAATTTACTGTAAAAAAGTAGATAAATTTGTTACCTACTGTACTAAAAGTATATGATACAGACAAAAATATTATTATGCCCTAAAACTAAAGAGTATACCATAACTTACTAAAAGAAAAGAACTAAACTTGAATAAATCAATATACTTTTGATATAATTAACTCAAGGAATATTAATAAAAATGTTTACATTCAAAATAATATAACCCAGATTAATTAAAACACATTATATGAATTTACTCAAATATTAATGAAATATGCTTATCACCTGTAATCAATTATAATCTATATTAATAAAAAACCTTTAAAGTAAATTTACTCAATATTAATAAAAATATGCTTATTGCCTGTAATTATAATTAAAGTAAAGAATAAAATATGCTTACTTCCTAAAAGTAAAATATGTAACTCATGTCAAATAAAATACCTTTAAAATAAATTCACTTAACAAATAACAAAAATATGCTTACCACCTGTAACCATAGTTAAAGAATAGAACTCAGATTAATTAATACTTTTGAAATGAATTTGCTTAACAAATATTAATAAAAATATGCTTACTGCCAGTAATCATTAAAGTAAAGAATAAAATACACTTACTCCTTAAAAGTAAAGAATAGAACTCAGATCTATTAGCACCTTTAAAATGAATTTACTCAACAAATAATGAAAATATGCTTACTTTCTTTAATCATAGTGTAAGAGGGACCAAAAAAATTAGATAGATTCAACATATGTCATCCTCGCCCAATTGGGGTTTAATTGGGGCTTGAGGGATTTTTGGGATTTCTTAACATGTATATAAAGAGAGGAATGTACTAGAGAAAAAGCAACAATAAAATACCGTCCTTTTATCATAAACTCAGACTAATATCTAACACTTTCACTTACCTCGTGCCACATCTCCATGCCTCTTTCGACGTTACACGATCGGCGATCGCGACGTAGCAACAGACTCGCTGTTATCTCCCCCAACAATAGTTAAAGAATAGAACTCAGATCAATTAATACCTTTGAATGAATTTACTTAAATATATTAACCAAAATATGCTTATCACTTGTAAACAAGGTTAAAGAATAGAACACAGATTAATTAACACCTTTAAAATTAATTTGCTTAACAAATATTAATAAAAATATGCTTATTATTTGTAATTATTAAATTAAAGAATAAAAATTCATACTTTCTTAAAGTATATAATAAAACTCAGATCAAATAAAATACTGTTGAAATGAATTCACTTAATAAATAATTAAAATATACCTACTGCTTATAATTGTAATTAAAGAATAAATCATATTCACCAAAATATGCTTATCATCTGTAATTGTTAAAGAATAAAAATTACTTATTTCTTAAAAGTATAAATAGAACTCAGATCAATTAACACTTTTTAAATGAATTTATTTAACAAATATTAATAAAAATATGTTTATTGTCTGTAATTGTTAAAGTAAAAAATAAAAATTGCTTATTCTCTAAAAATAAATAACATAACTTATCGAATAAAACATTTTTAAAATGAATTTACTCAACAATATTAATAAAAATATGCTTACTACCTGTAATTGTTAAAGTAAAGAATAAAAATTACTTACTTTTTAAAAGTATAAATATAACTTGGATCAAATAAAACATCTTTGAAATGAATTTACTTAACAAATATTAATAAAAATATACTTGCTGTCTATAATTATTAAAGAATAAAACCTGTCTACTCTTTATAAGTATACTTTATTTCTCAAAAAAAACACATCTAATCAGCAATCTTTAAATACTAAAATTTAAATGGATTAAATTAAATTATGATAAAATTTATAATATGGATAAAATATAAGTATGCTTAAATAATATATAAATTAAAATAATTATCAATTATAGAAACTCTTTCTGTTGATTCTTTTGCCAATCCAAAAAAAGTATATTCTTGAAAGATTTTTTTATTTTTAATAATAAAGTTTAAATACTCTTTTTAACAATATATATTCTTAAAGGCAAAAGTCATTTCTATTTGTTTATCTTTTCTTCTTCAAAATTTTTTAATTATTTCAATAACAAAATATCCAAAAACTTATCCATTTAGTTTATGACAAAAACATATTACTGAAAAGAAAAAATCTAATAAAAAATATTCTTCTTGATTTTTTCTCAAGGTTTGAAATTCTAAAAAAACTCACTAGCAATATACTTTTCAAATTTTATAAAAATCTTGGGTTTACCATAAGTTAATACCTTTGCTAAAGGCAGGTAAATAAACAAGTATTCTAGTCTGTATATATGGATATATGATCCTCTCTACCAATCGAATGTCTGCAGCAGTCTTTTTAAGTATATCAATAAATTTTTAAAAATTTTTAAAGAATTTTGCCTATCTCAGTTTGACCTTAAATTTTTTGTTACACCAGAATCTTCAGTTGGTAATTGATTTTAAGATCAAAAAAATATCAGGAAATTTTTTAGTAAAAATCTTCAGGTGCAGACCTCCAAAGGATCTTCATTGTTGTTAAAAGATGCCAAAGCAAAACTTAATATATTAAACTCTGAAAATTTTCAATTTATTTTAATAATAATAAAATATATTTATATTTACATTTTATATTCTATTAATATTCAATTTTAAATGTTTATTTGCTTTTAAAATCATTTATTATTATTTTTTTTTTAGTAGGTAAACATTATCTCTTTATTATCATAAAAATTTTAAAATAATTTTATATTGTGAAAGTGACAACATCTCTCACATAACCAATTGATCAGTAAGTCTAATACTAGCTTGCTTACAGAAACTATATAAGCAACATGAAAATAAATATTAAAACTAATGTACATTCTAAACAGTGCTGTGCAGTTATGAATACCTACTCAGGTTTATGTATAAGACTATAAAAAGTTGAAAAATGAAAAAAAAAGAAAATACTAAACAAAAAAATAAGTACAGCAATACTAATTGTAAAGCTATGGATGCTTCAGATAAAGCATGCCATGCTGGTAGTTCCATTTAACTGAAATACTATTGCACTTCCAGAAATGGCCAGGCTACTGTCCAAAGTATACAATAGTATTGATAGCATATTTTTTTAATAGATGGTTGGTCATAGTAATGATATTGTTGTTGTATTGATATAATTTGTAATTGGTTTATTTGTTGGTAGTGTAATTTTGTTTTGGTTGTTATTGCCATAAAAGGTTTTGTTTACATCAATCAGGGTGTAGTGTTTTGGTTATACGAATTTGTTTAGGAAATTGATAGTGTTTGATTGGTTGAGTTTGGAATATTGATAAATTAACAGGAGTACACTGATTGCAGTTTTTTGTTGAAAAATTTTTTGAGTGAGATTTTTGGATTTTTGATAGCACAGCAAAATATGCTGGGTGATAGTGAGAAGTAAATATTGAATATATTGTTGGTGCTCCAAGTTAACAATGTAAACAATTTTGATATAAAATTTGGTTTTTTGAGATAAAAAGAAGTTCTCTAAACAAAAAATATAGTTATTTAAAAAGATTTGTGTATTATTAAGAAAAAAAAATAGAAAGAACCCAAGAAAAATTTATAAATAAGTAACTGCCACGGGCCTTTTTTCATGCAATCCAAAGAAAAAACAAAGTCTCCAAACTTGCTTTTCTCTAGCCAGAGGTCCCGTCCTGATGCACCAGTATACTTTTTTAATTTTCTTGAGGCTCTTGTAGTAAAGAAAGAGAAAGTGCGAAGGACTTTTGGATATTGAAAGGCAAAAAAAATATTAGTTTCTTTAATTTTGGAGAAAATTATTATAAAAGGAAATTTTTAATAAAAAATTTGTGTACGGGAAAGAGTATTTTTATTTTTTGCTATATTATGCTTTTAAAATTATTTATTATTACATAATTCTTGTTTATATTTATTTATTTGTCTAATTCTTTACTCATTGTCAAAGTCCTTTTTTCTAATTCTCTATTTTTCAATAATTGTTCTGGATTATTCTTAGTATTTTCCCCTTCCTCCGGATTATCTTCTATAGTAATAATTTGTCGCTCAATCATTTTTTCATCTTTGCTACTTGAATTTTCTTCTTCAAATCCAAGTTCTTTTTTAATTCTCTTCTAAAAATATTATTAGCAAAAATTTATATTACTTCAAAAAACTTTAAAACTCAACTTATTTTTTTCTACTTTACTTTTAATTAATATTTCATTTCTTTCATTATTCGGATCAAGAACTGTTTAACATACTGCAATAGCGAATGCCACTTGTTTGTTAGAGACATCTCTCTTTGGCCAAACTTTTTCGAGAATACAGGCTATCATGCTTT